TCTTCTCTTCTGCGAGTAACTTGCACTTCTCAATCACATCCTTCAATACGAGCGACCATTTCGACGTTTCTGCAATCAGCGCAAAGAGCTGCCCAGGTGTGCTCTTCAGATCTTTCTTATTATATATGCGCGACTTGAGCGACCCGCCGACATTGTCGGAATTGGCGAGAATGGTCGCAGCCTCGTAGTAGAGTGACATGGAGACTTTGTCGCGTAAAACCAAAAAAAACCTGCCCAGGAACTTTTTGGCGTTGAGGCCGAGCTCCGACCTTTTTCCCCGCACACCTCCGTGATCCACCCGCTTTTATTAAGTGCCTTGGCCGTTTCTCCAATTCTCCACGCACGATGCCACCTTGCATTGGATCTGCAGGGACGTGTTCATCACGATGAAATGTTTCCCGCAAATGCGACCACCTTCTAACAGATCGTCGCCCCGTCTTCATTTCCCAAATCTTAGTCTCACTTCTCGCCAAGCACATCTGCGATTAAATTTGAGGCAACAACCGTACTCGCCCAATTGTCACTCACGCATCACACACGAAAAAGGAATCAAAAATCGGGATGAAAAGTGTTTGATTTTCATCTACCTTGGTTCAAACATAAAAGAAAAAATATACATAGGAGCCAGTCCTAAACTCCCATATCCTTTCATCAAGTCCCTTTGGTCCACTGTTCCATGCCCTGGGGTATATATATATCGATTGAAGCAATTTCCTCCCAAAGCGAGTGTGAAGTGCTTCCTGTAGAAGAGGAAGACACCAAAGACAAAAGGGCATATGTATTGGTTGATACGCTGTACACAAAAAAAGAAGAAAAAAAGGTCCCTCCAAAAGACGGTGGGCAAGAAAGTAAAAATGGTTCCAGTCATCATGTCATATGTAAACAACACTCTATGCTTGCGCAAAGATGGCCAGTGTAGCGCAGAAGTTGGAGCGATTGTCCTCATCCTTAGCGAGACCCTTGCCACCCGAGGTGATCATGTTGACCGAGGCCTTTGTCGAAAGACCAAACCAGTTGACATTGGTCGAGTTGACAACTTCGTTCATGTGTTCTTGGCAGTTCTGGCCAACAACACAATCCTGTGCGTAGTTTTGGAAGAACGAGTAGGTACCCGCGCCGTAGCTCCAGATGCTCTCGCTACCGTCAGTGACGCGAACGGCCCACGCAGCCTTGGCCTGGCTCATATCCGGATCAAAGAACTTGTCATTCTTGGTGAAAGGAACGGCAGCAGTGGGGTTTGGCTGGTAGTAGGGAGTCTCGGTCTGGATGGCGCCGTAGAAGATGTCCTTTGCACCGGAGAACTGGTACTGCGACATTTGAGAGTGCTCAGAGGCGGTTCCGTACATCCAGACTGGACCTTGGGATTCAACAAGCATACCGCGACCGTTGTAGATGTCGATCTGAGAGTGGTCGTCCTGATCGAGCTCGTGGTCGGCAGTCCAGAGCCAGACGTTTTCGAAGTAGCCGTTCGAGTTCTTGGTGATGTGCAGTTGCATGAAGGTACCAATGCACTCTGGGTTGGGCTGATGTTCGGCATCGGGGTTTTTCTTGCAGTTGGAGGACTGGAGCTTGGTACCGGCGTAGCCACCGACACGGAAGTGAACGTCCCAGAGACCGGCTGCACCATTCTCGGCGTTGATGTTCCACTCCATCAAGATACCACCAGGAGCGGGACCCTGTGTACCGATGATGAGATCAGAAGCCTCAAAAGTACCCTTGTCGCCGCTCTTGGCACCAATCTTGAAACCAGGCTTGGGGTCGTTCATGTCAGAGAAGAACTTGCCGGTGATGAGGAGGGTGCTGTAGACTTCGCCAACAATCTTGACGTTCTTCTCGGCAGGGATGGTAACGGTCTTGGTGATGAGGTAGGTACCGTGGTCGACATGGAGGATCTCACCTTCCTGAAGGCCATCAATAGCAGACTGGAGAGCGGCAGTGTCATCAGTCGCACCGTCGCCTTTGGCACCTTTGGACTTGAGGCTGACAAACTTGGAGACATCCACATTTTCATACTGGGGCCTGCTGCGCTCGAACCAACCATTCTCACCCTGGAGGCTCTTAGGCTTTGCAGGTGCACCGCTGATATCGCCTTGAACACGGCCCTGGGTCGACCCAGCAGCAAGAGCGTTACCCTGAGCCCAGGCGTCGATCTTGCGGCCACCTTCAAGGATAGTGTTGCCAGCAGCACCAACAATAGCCTTCTCCGACCCACTGAAGTCGACATTGTCAAGGATGAGGGTACCGCCAGTGGTGGGGATGCTGTTCTCAGTGAAAGAGGAGTTGATGCCAATGGGAGTGTTGGTGAGCTTGCTGTCAAGAAGGAGAACGGAACCAACAGTCTGGTTAGAAGGACTGTTGGCCATGTCGAGACCGACCTTGCAGTTGTTGATGAAGATGCTCTTGTAGGTGAAGACCCAGTTCCAGTTTTGGAAGATGGCGGTACCGCAATCATTGAAAGTCATGTTGCGGATGGTGAATTGCTGGGAACCCATGAAAGCACCAATGGCACCACCATTGAAGGTCAGGTCAGTCATGAAACCACCAGAGCCGTTGTCCTGGAAGATGCCCTTCTGGTCCTTGCCAGCGTCACCCTTGGCCATCTCGAAAACAATGTTTTGCAGACTGGTGGCTTGAGAGACCTGCCAGTGAATACCAGCGGCGACCTTTGTAGCAGAGATGTCGATAACGAAGTTGCGGACCTGACGGTAGAAGTTGTTCTGGTTGGTGTACCAGTTGGCTCCATCGCCACCTGGGATATAGGGGTCGGCATCGATCAAGCCCATACCTTCGAAGTCGGCAGTGGCCTTCAAGACAGGCATGTTCAATGGGTCGCCGATGAACTGGGTGTAGTAGTATTGAATGATGGGCTTGCTGATAATGTAGGTACCGGCAGGGAAGTAGATGAGAGCTGGGGTAGTGGTTGTGGAGTCGCAGCCCTCACCACAACGGTCGCCGTCAGCAATAATCTTGTTAATGATCTCGGTATCGTCAGTAACGCCATCACCCTTGGCTCCTAGCTCCTTGACGTTACGGAAGACTTGGTAGGATTGGGGGTTAGGGTTGAAAGCAGCCTGGCCTTGACGCTTGATACTCTGCATCCAGAAACCAGAACCACCAGCCTGTGGTGCTGGTGCTGGGGCAGCTGGTGCTTGAGCAACAGGGACGGCAGAAGATGGGGCTGCGGAAAGGAGAACACGTAGCGTCAGGAGAAACGCTCCGGCGCCGAAAGCCACCATGATGACAGTGCGTAGTGTGAGTTTCGGTGTTGTCAAGTGTGGTAGGAATGATCCAAAGGACTGGAAGAATGGTCGTCAGTTGACCTGCAAAAGACGATATGTTGTTTTCTGTTGTATCGAGTGGGAAAGTGCACAAATGCGCAAGTGGTTGTGTCAAAGTAAGAGGTTGGCTAGCAACGAATGTGGAAGAAGGTAATGGGGAAGGTTATTGTGAGCGTGAATAAGAAAAAACTCTCAACAACAGTAAAGAATGACTGTGAACAATAAGAAGTGAAGCAACACAATGAGTGCTGAAAGGGCGTGACAGCGAACCTGCGTGAAGGGGAGAGGCTCAGGGAGGGGGCACTGCAGCCTTGTATAAGTACGGGATGTGTTCGCGAGGGGACTTACAAAGGATTCGTGTGGCCAATCGCGTTTCTGGAGACGACTTGTTTCATGTTTGGAAAGAGGGGCGTGTGGTGTTCGCTGTCCTGGTCTTGCATCATTTTCCCCAGCCCTGAATAGATGTGTTGTACGTTCTTGGACGCTGCCACGGCAGCTGTGTTTGATAGCCTCTTCATCATACTTCTGCGCGCCATCGCGCTCGTACAGAAGCTCAACGCTCTCTGGTATTCCATGATGAGGCCTTGTGGCCGCATCTGTAAGCCGCATGGCCGCCTCCTAGAGCTGTCCTCGGAACGCGTAGCCTGAACGCAGCCCAGTCCCGGTGGCGTAGATCCAAAATTACTTAGGGTGTGCACTAATCGAGAGGACGGCAATATTCCCGTAGAAGGCTCTCTCCGCGTGAAACAAGCGGAGGTTGTAGGCCAGTGAGTGGTGGAGGATGTTCTGAGGGTGGAAGGCGAGCGTTTGTCCCTGGATCGAAGACAGGGATGTGGTTGGCAGCGCCACTCCCGGCGGTCGGAGGTGCGACGGCACTGAAACGCCAGGCCATCGACAGGCCCTCGTTGGCCGTTTTTGGAGATGAGGCCTTATGCCAGCGCTTCAACGCCGCATGCAAAGAAGGCGCCATTCGACGCTACGCTCCGGGAACAATCCCATGTGGATGCACCGATGTGCTGCTAATTGCCCATCCACATCAAGGGCCCGCGGCAGGAGTCATGGGCCTGGGCAGCAATTCACCCGACCGCGAGGCTGCTAACTGCTGCTGCTGCTGTTGCTGCTCCTGCTTGTGCATAGTATATCCCCACACAGTGAATTGGACATGGAAGGGACTGGTCATGTCGGTGACGAACGCTGTGCGCGACGTTGGATGAGCCTTGCGGGTGCAAAACAAAGATCAAAGAAACACTCTCCGTCGCGGCTTTGCGCCATGCCCCACGAAAGTACCACATGATGCAGGTACGCAGATTATCGCATGCCGTGATATGCCAATCGCCGCCTGAGGCTCACACGAAACGGCCTCTTTGTTTCGCGCTGCCACTGGGCATGGTGCTTTTTTCATTTCAACCAAAGTGGAGCGGTGGGTCATGGGTATTGTTTGCATGAAACGTTCAAGTTTAGCCAGCCATCACCCGACGCCTGTGCAGATCCCTTGAGCTTAGCAGAACCTTGATATACATCTTATCATATCGCCTGCGGTATATTGTATTCTGCTTCGCCAGGCGAAAATTATTCAGAGGCAAATAGGGGAGTCTGGATCGCGTGTACATGTCACCGTGCAGACAAGATCCAGGGCCATTGATGAGCCTACCAATGGCTTCAGCAAACACATCGCTAGTTCGGCAAGTCTCTTACACTACTCAAACAGTATATACCAATCGTTCACCACAAGGCCTTTGCATCCTCTTCTTGGCTAGCGGGCCGCTTGGTGCTATATCTGCTGTTAGTCTCCTCGCTCAACATGCGGCTAATTGTATCGGCAAGTCGCTGGATGCCTTCTGCGAGCATATTTACTTCCTCCCACTGCCAACAAGTTAGCCCAAACCCAAGTTGCAGCTATCGACTCATACCGCAAAGCAGACTCTGATGTCGTTGCTGAAAGATGTGCCTTTGTGTTTAGTGTCGCCGGGGACCTGTATCAGTTAGCGCGAGGACAAGGAGGGCAGTGGACAAGACGACTCACTTCGAACATTTCGCCCTATGCAATCATCATCATTAGCCATTCACATGTTGTGGACCGGGAATATGATGGAGGCTTAGGCTTACTTGTGCAACAGCCAAGTTGTCATCCTCCTTTGCGCGTTGTGCCACCTCGGCGCCCTTCAGTGGCGGGGGCAGTGTGAGCCAGATGAAGTATCCGCCCACAACTTCACGATCAGTCTGCGGGACACGAACCCCTAGGGGAAGGAGGTACTTGTTGATGGCTTCCATCATATGCCTGTATCGGTCACCATACGCGGGTTGAAGCGTATCGTACACGTAGCGCTGGAGTTCACCAGTCTCCAACGTATCGGCCACACAACAAGCTGTCAGCTGACTGGGTGATCCACCTGAGCGGCTCGATCCTCTACAAAAACGTTAGCCATTACTAAATCCTATAGCGAGATGCGGATTCATCAGTACTAGCCTGCTACTGTGCAGACTAACGCGGATATGATTGCATCCGTCTTGATTTACACAGACAAAGTCTACTTCCAAAGAAGAAAAAGAAATCACGACAAAACAAGAGGACATGTTTGAATGAAATTCCTGAAAAGGCAGGCTTACGTTTGTGAAACGGCGTAGGCCAGTTTTGGAGTGCCCTCGCACCAACCCGTGCGGAGGCCTGGGCCGCATATCTTAGAGAAGGAGCCATTGGAAACGGCATTGCCAAACCCGTCTGCACCTTGCCTTTCGGCGCCGCCACCGAGATATCGGTCCACATCTACGATGCGAGGTAGACTGGCATTTTCGATTGAGAGAGTGCTAGGGGTGAGACTGGAGGGCCATTGCAGAAAGTCATATACGTCGTCTGTGATGATAAGAGCATCATACTCTCTCGCCAAATGCACGAGTTCTTCTCTTCTCCGCAAGCTCATTGTTTTGGAGCTAGGATTAGAGAAGCCTGGCACAGCGTAGATGATGTGTTTGTATATTTTGTTGAATGGGCGTGGAGGCTTCAGAAGCTGGCGATGTTGTCAGTGGAGGTAGGCAAATGCATTTCAGCTTGTGAGATGCCAGGGGCTCGCAATCAACATTGGCCATGGGGTTGGATATGAGAGAGAAAGAGAGAGAGAGAAGGAAAGACTTGCAAATAGACCATACTACAAGACAAGGGAAAGAACGCACACGCACCGGCTCATTGTTGTTCTCTGCAATTGCGTTGTCTTCACTTTTTTTAATCTCACTTCTCAAATAGTCCATTTCGACGCCCTCATCATCTTCGGGAACGGCCCGAAGCTTTTTGTGGAAGCCAGCATCTTCAAAGATGCGAAAAGCCAGCATGTAGGCCGGTGCTACGATCCATATGTTCCTCGTATACAAGGGGTCTGTGAAGTCTTGGAGCAAGCAGGCCAAGTTTTGCGAAGCACCTCCGGAAATGCATATTCGCTCTGCAGACACTGGGTCGGCCGGTTTGTAGAAGGCAGTCAGCCATTGCGCGACATTGGCACGCAGTCGCGGGTCACCGGCATCTGGCCCGTAGCAAAGAGCTGGGTAGGCAGTAGGCTTATGTTGGAGCACATTGTGGGCTGCTCTGTCAAGCAATTGTGTAGGGAGTAAGGACAGATTAGGCCATCTGGTGCCGTTAGCAAATGACTCGGGGGACGTAAGGGTCTTGTTGGGCCGCGTCTTGTCCGAAAGTGAAGATGCGGGTACAGAGATGGACGTGCCCTCGCAAAAGATTGATGAGCTTTTTGGAGCTAGTTTTGGATGCGACCACGTCAGGGAGCACAAAGGTCTTCAGGATCTGATGTGCAATTGTTTCGCCACCGCCCATGTTGGAACGAGTATCGAGTGCTGATGGCGCCGGATTGAGCGATGGTGAGTAAGGCGCCGGGGGGTGTACAAGCAGGGACCGAAGGGGCTAGCGTGCAGGTATGGGACGACTCTGTTCCTGGGCGGGGCAACGTGGTCTGCAGTGCCCGACAAGGCGTGTCAGAGGAGGGTGTGAAGAAGGAATCAATCGTCTTGGGCGTGTGTGTATTGTGTGTGCCACAGGTGTCTTGACCCAAACCACGTTCCTACAAAGGCCTGACATGGGGGATGCGGCTTAAGGTGCGTGTGTGTGACACGCTCATGATGCACACTATCGATACGGGAAGTGGTACGTCATCCGCATCGCTAAAATTTCCCTGCGGACGTTCCCCCAGGCCCTGGTGTCTTGCGCCTCAGCATCAGCAGCCGGGCGCCGTGTTGCATACAGGCAACAAAGGCGCCGCCGTGGGCGTGGGCCGCTGGCGAGAGCTGCTCGGCGTGAACAGGCGGAGAGAGAAAGAGAGGGCGAAACGGTATCAGCGGCAGTGGCAGTGGCAGTGGCAGTGACAATGCGAATGGGCATGGGCCTGTCTGGGAGACGAGGCGGGCCCTTTGGCGGCAACACGAGGCGCAGGGCCTAAACCAGCACGCGCAAAAGGGTCCTGGACAGGGCACAAAGGGGGTTTGTCCACTGGAGGACTGGGGTGTCATCGTACCCGCACACTGTAGAGGCATCGTGACAGCTGGAGGACTCGAGGCCAATGGGAGCCGGCACTGCATGACCCACGTTGTTGGCCACTGGCCCCGGGACGCTGCCGGTGCACGCACGAGCGTGGTCGTGACACTGCCGCACCTGCGACAGATCAAATATAGATCACCTAGTCTTTTTCACAAAGCTTTGGGCCTACCGTGCGTTATAAACCTCACCCATCAGCCGGGCGCCCTGCCTGCATAGAGACTTGTGTTGCTGCTGCTGCTCACCGTGTCCTTACTGACCCCCATGCTGCTCGACACATAGCACCTTCTCCACCCTCGACCATTCCGCCTCCTGCTCCTCTCCACGGCTCTCTGTGCCACCTATTACCGTCGCACTCGCACCTGCCGTCACCATGTTGGGCGAAAAGAAGAAGGCGACCAACCGCCTGTCGAGCCTCTTCTCCGTCGGATCGTCCTCCGAGTCGTCGGCCGCCTCTATCAAGAGCAGCCCGGCCCCCTCGTCAGAATCGAGCAGCCGCTTCTCCAAAGTTCGCAACCGCATCTCCTCTGTCAATCTCCTCACCCCAGAACCCCCGCAGCCCGCCGCCCCAAAGTCGCCCAAATCGCCCAACCCGGCTGCTCACGCAAACCCCAGCCTCCACCCTGCCGTCCCCGCTGATCTCGAGCCCCTGGAGCCGCCGCCATTGCTCGACGTCTCTTCGCATCCATCCACTCCCTCCAATAGCCGCCCCTCGACCCCGGGCTTAGACCCAAATCCCGAGGGTCGGCTGAAAAAACTGCGCAGAAAAAGCATTCTCTTTGGAGGCGGGCCGGCCAACGGAGCCGATCCGGCCGGGTCAGGGAGTGCTGCCAATGGCAACCCGCCAGCATGGATTGTCGGACACAAGGGCAAGGTACCATATGACCTGAAGGCGTTGCTGGACGGCGAAAAGGTAGGTTGTCGGTGCTGGCTATTGCAGCGGTATCTAGTGCGCTGACATGACGACAGGTGCCCGAGTTGTGGGACGAAACAGGAGATACTTTTGTCTACCTCTTTCCCCGGACTTCTGAAAAAGGCGCTTCCTTCCGTATCGACTCTTCTGTCTATGCAGCTTCACAGTTGCTCACACGCCTCGTGCACGGCAGCCTTTACAGTGACGTTAGCGCCATTCCTCCTCTCGAGCTAGCCGAGCGGACGTCACGCCGCGTCTCTGGCGAACCCTATCCCGACCACTCCAGGGCTGCATCCCCCGAGCAGAGCCAAATAGGAAGTTCCGACGAGTCTAAAGGCTCAAGAGCGCTCAGCGATGCTGTAGAAGATGACTACTCAGAGAAGCATTTGTATATGCCCATCTCACTAAGTTCAGACTCCGCCATCACGCCGCAACAGCCCCAGCTCAGCACCCAGGACACCGATACCTTGGTCACCTACCGCAATTTCTTCGCTTTTCTCATTGGGCAATCGCTGGTTGCCACTGAACGCCATTCGGACATTTTTGATATTTTCCTGCGGATAGGAGACATATTATCCCACTATGCCTTCTCCAACGTCGACGGTTCTACCTTTGGTGAAGTTGCTGCCTCGAGCTTTGACTGCTATGTTGACGAGTTGGCGCTGGCCGATGTGCGACACAGCCGCGAGAAAACCATTGAAGCCATTGTTCTTGGCGAAAAGCTACGTTCCATGGGACTCTTCACTGAAGGCTTCGTTCACGCTGCTGGGAAATACGACAGCATTAAGGAATACAACTCTCCAAAATTCGCCATGATCAGCGCCAAGACGGCGACACGACTCCAACGGGCTGCCATGGATCTCGACAACCGAGAAGCCACCATTAATGGAAAGCTCAAAGACTTTGAATTCCCAGCCATCTTCTCCGGAATCATGAACAGTGCCATGGCCTCCGAAGGCAAGGTCATAAGCTTCAAGAAGTGGAGAGCTGCTTTCAACACAACCCGGTCGTTCATTCTCGATTATTACAGGCACAAATACGGCTCATGGCTACCCAAGGCCAAGTCGAAAAAGAACGATCTTACAACGGGTGGTCTCAATCGACTGGTACTGTTGGAGATATATCGCGACATGTCTAGTCTCTATGACCTTCTCGTAGACAGGAAAAACCTGACGAATCGCACGGCCGACGGCTTCATTGCTGAGGATGAGGGCACAGATATTAAATCGGTTGTCTCACGTACGCTCAGGAAAGTTTTGAGCGAGTACGACCGCAGTACTCCGCCTGTGCAGCCACCCATACCCTTCGATCTACCGCTATATCCAACATTGCCAAACGCCATGACTGGAAACGCGAAGCAGGATGCAAAAGCACGAGGAAAGAAGATACACAAAGACGAAATTGCCAAGCTGCTGAAAGAATCGCACAATGCCGATTCTGAGCAACAGACGCCGTTTTTGGATGCATTCCGTGTGTTTGAATCCAAGCACGCTGCAGGCTCTTCGTTGGACGATCTTTGGGATCTACGGACAGGACAATGGCTGTTCCTCTATGCCGTTATACAATCGCTGCCCATGTTAGTCGTCGATGCACCCGGTGTCAGATTTACCGAAGGCGTCGAGTACTTCCTGTGTGAAGTACCTCGAAGCGGTGTGCCATGGGCCCGTGAGGATACAGTACGGACACGGACGTGGTTCGGCGTTGCGGGAGGCGCGCAGGTGGTTAGTTTACCCGCGGACATTGTCGAACACGGAGTCGAAGGTGTATTCCGACGGTCTCACTGCTGGAAGAAGGCGCAACTTTGGGCGGCTGACGACACGCTGTTGAATGCCGCCATGCAAGAATTGAACGGGCATGCTTCGCTGCTGCCGCCTCCTGGACTGCTCGATCCTTCGGGGACTAGCATCCGTGACCGATCTCAGAGTCCCGACAGACGCCGTGAGAGCGTCATGAATCTGGGACTCGAGGCGCTACCGTTACCTCCAGGTGTTGCCCCACCCATGTCCACCGGTTCACCTTCGCGAAGACCCGAATCGAGCAGTGACCCGAGTAAGACGTTTGACGATATACTGGGTACTTCGCCTTCGAGCCCCCAGTCCAAGAAGAAGAAGAAGAAATGAGCAGATAATGACGAGAGAGACCGCCATGGCAGGGGAATGTAGCATGTAAAGTTTTGGGTTTGATTTTCTTTTTCAAACTGTTCGTTGATACCGCGTAATGTTTGATAAATGCATGATGGAATAGCATAGGCGGGCTTTTGTAATCTTTGTCGCGTTGTCGCATTTATATGCATTCGGGATTTGTATCATTTTAGACAAACATTGCTATAGGGGAGGGGCGGTTTTCGTAGTCGACTTGAAGTCGCGCCAAAAAATGCAGTCATGACGTTTGTGGTTAGTTCCCGCGCGTATCGCTGCCGATATCGTTGCGTCTGCACTTACCCGCACGATTACATCTCTCCGGCCCAGTTCACATATTTTTGAAACTTTGCTCGCTCCCATTGCGATTTGGCGCGTCGTGTACTCGCGAACATGACGTCTTCTTTGCCTGGCAACCGCGATTTGCCTGTGTCGCAATTCGACCTCAGCACCTACTGGGGTCGCGTGCGGCACTCTGCCAATATTTCAGACCCGAGGTGAGAGTCATTGCGCACCGAATAGATTTGCTTGCGCGACTTGGGTGTAGTGAGTACCACTACCTTTAGTTTCTCGACCGCACCTTTGTTGTTCCCAGCGCAAACCATCCATCTAGCAAAGCCTGGGTTGACCATGCATGACGCAGGACGTTACTCACATCCGCCGCTGGCCTCGAAAATGCGAAGAAGCTCGTCACCGCCTACAAGACAGGCAAGATACCAGAAATGACACCAGAGCTCTGGGATGCAAAGAAGATAATTGATTCAACAATTCACCCAGGTACTTTGCTCGGGGAAGGCGCACAATGAGGGGGAGACGCTGACGGATTCCAAGATACGGGAAAGCCAGTCTTCCTACCCTTCCGCATGTCCTGCTTCGTATTGACAAACTTGGTTGTCACGGCTGGCATGCTTACACCAGGCCTTGGGGTATGCAACTCTGCATCGTGTTAGGTAGACAATATGCTGAGCAGAAACAGACGGCAGGAACACTCGGATGGCAAGTGACGAACCAGTCGGTCAATGTCGGAATCAACTTCTCCAACGCGAACAAGTCGATTCCTCTCTCGACCTCAACCATTGTCAAATCATACCTCCTTGCTGTCAGCGCATCTTGTGGTGTTGCCGTTGGCCTGAACGCGCTAGTACCCCGCCTCAAGAGCCTATCGCCAAATGCAAAACTCATCGCGGGGCGTTTGGTACCATTCGCAGCTGTCGCTACAGCAGGTGCGCTCAATGTCTTCCTCATGCGCGGTGAGGAGATTAGGCAGGGCATCGATGTTTACCCAGCCTTGTCGGAGATCGACAGGCATAGGGTGGAGACTGGCGATCTCGAGGTCAAGCCCCTAGGTAAAAGCAAGAAAGCTGCAACACTTGCTGTGGGAGAGACAGCGCTGAGTCGAGTGCTCAATGCTACGCCCATCATGGTTCTGCCGCCCCTCGTCCTTGTCCGATTACAAAAGACAGAGTGGCTCAAACAGAGGCCGAGAATGGTAACTCCAATCAACTTGGGTGAGTCGAAAGTGAAACGCAGTGACATGACCACAACACCCGCTAAAGCGCGAACAGGCCTTATTTTTACCACTTCCATCTTTGCACTCCCGCTTGCGCTCGCTGCATTTCCGCAACGCCAGGCTGTTAGCGCAAAATCTTTAGAGCCCGAGTTTCATGAGCGAGGCGGCAAGGATGGATTAGTGGAGTTTAACCGTGGGATATGATGGACCGGCACCACCCACCGACGAAAGGACACGCTATCATCTTTGCTCGACCGGGCCCATGACGTCTAGGCATTGATGCAAGTCATTCAATGCATGCTTATGTAGAGCACAACTGAAGACATAGTGCAGCTCCAGATTGTGAGCTCAACAGCGTCGCTTGAGATACAATGCGGCGAAGACATGCTTCCTGGCGATGTGATTGGCTTAGCTAGAGTAAGCACAGGATCTCGAGAGCCGCCACATCGAGTGCTCGACCTTGTAGACGAAGATAAGACCAGATATGTCTTTTTGCAAAATGATCTAGGCAGCCGTTAAATTAGCCTTGTTTAAGATGACTGTTTAATTTGTGACGTGGGTTGGTGCTCAAAAGTCAAGCTGGCCTCTTGAGAAAGACCAGGTGTCAAATAGTGTCAGAACAGGGCAGTTCTTGGCTGCATTTTACTACGAAACCACCACCACTCCACGTTTCCACGTTTTGTCAATCACGATCCCGACCAACACCCTACTCACCGCTTTTTTACTGGAATTGATTCCCTTTCTTTCCTTACTCTTCTCCTCTCTTCTACGTCGTCTGTTCTTGAACGCTATATACCCTACTTGTGCCCTGCGGAGCCCGCACATCCCACTACAAGTGTCCCGCGCCTGCGGTTAGCGACACATTGCCTCTTTCCTCACACAACATGGCGCCACCCGGACGCCGGAGAGGCCATCTCTCGCCCGCAACTGTCCTCCTCGGTCTCGTATTCCTCTTCTCGTCGACCGCCTCCGCTGCGTCAGCTATTATCGGTGTTGATCTCGGTACCGAATACATCAAGGCTGCGCTTGTGAAGCCAGGAAACCCTCTTGAGATTGTCCTCACCAAGGACTCGAAGCGCAAGGAGACTGCGGCCATTGCTTTCAAGCCATCCAAAGGCGGTGCCCTCCCCGCAGGCTCTTATCCCGAACGCTTCTACGGTGGCGATGCAATTGCGCTACAGGCACGGTTCCCTGGCGATGTGTACCCTAACCTGAAGCATCTTTTGGGCATCTCGAATGAGGACGACGCAGTCGCCACGTACAAGGAGAGGTATCCAGCCCTCGAGGTCACTGCCACAAAAGGACGCCCAACAGTCAGCTTTGAGAGTCATGTGTTCAGCGAGGATAAATCATACATGGTTGAGGAGCTATTGGCTATGGAACTAAAGAATGTCAGAGAGAACGCAAAGGCGCTGGCAGGCAAGGGCTACGATGTCCAAGAGGTCGTTTTCACCGTTCCAGCCTTCTACACTGTGTCTGAAAGGCGCGCACTAGAGGTCGCAGCTCGCCTGGCAGGCCTCAAGGTTCTCAGTGTTATTTCCGATGGTTTAGCTGTTGGTCTCAACTATGCCACCAGTAGGACGTTCCCCGATATCACTAAGGATGGCAAGCCAGAAATCAATATGGTATTCGACATGGGCGCTGGTTCAGCGTCTGCCACAATTGTCAAGTTCCAGGGCCGTTCGGTCAAGGATGTAGGCAAGCGCACCAAGACTATCCAGGAAGTTCAAGTCATGGGCACCGGATGGGACAGGACGCTTGGAGGTGATGCGTTGAACTCGCTAATCGTCGATGATATGGTTTCTACATTCATCGAGCTTCCTGCGGCCAAGAGCGCATCTTTCACAGCTGAGCAGGTTAAGACTCACGGACGTACTGCCGCCAAGCTTTTCAAGGAGGCAGAGAAGATTCGCCAGATGCTTAGCGCCAACAAGGACACATCTGCTTTCTTCGAAAGCTTTTACGAGGACGTTGACTTCAGGTACAAGCTCACTCGTACCAAGTTTGAGGAGCTTGCAACAGCCTATGCTGAACGCGTTGATGGCCCCATCAACCGAGCTCTTGAAGCTGCTGGTCTTACTCTGGCTGATATCGACTCTGTTATTGTTCATGGTGGTGCAAGCCGTACTCCCTTTGTTCAGGCTCGTCTTGAGGCAGTTGCTGGAAAGGGCAAGATCAGGGCCAATGTTAACTCTGACGAAGCCGCTGTTTTCGGCGCTGCCTTTAAGGCTGCTAGCCTGAGTCCCTCTTTCCGTGTCAAGGAGATTCGCGAGCTGGACACCCAGGGCTACAACCACGGTTACAAGTACATGTTTGACCTGAAGGATCGCGACCAGAAAATCTTCACACCCAACACCAAAATCGGCATGGTCAAGGATCTACCTTTCCAAATGATGGGCGAGTTTGAGTTTTCCATGTACCAAGCTGTGCCTGGACCCAAGGGTGCCATCTCAAAAGAGCCTACTCTCCAGTTCACTAGTGGTAACTTGACCAGAGTTATCACCAAGATGATTGACGAGGACAAGTGTGATCGCGAAAGCTTCAACAATTACGTCAAGGTCAGATTGAGCCCCATCACTGGTACCCCTGAAGTTCTCTCTGCTTGGGTCACTTGCGAAAGCGAGTCTGAAGAGCCCAAGGCTGGTATCGTTGATGGTGTAAAGAACTTGTTCGGCATGGGTGGCAAGAAGGACCAGGAAGCCCTGAAAGAGGACGAAAGTTCTTCATCATCTACGTCCAAATCCTCTTCTTCCTCTTCTGCCTCGTCGTCATCTGCTGATGCCGAGAGCACTGATGCCGCCAAAGCTACCGAAAAGAAGATCAAGGTCGTCAAGTCCGCTCACACTTATGATGTTGTAGAGCTAGGCTACAAGAAGATTACTCGCAAGGAGTTCAAGAGGATGCAAGACAGGTAAGATCCGTCTTTGCTGGATACACTTTATTTGGTTTTCCAGAGAATTAACAAAAGACAGACTCGCTGCTTTCGATGCGTCAGACAAGGCCCGTCGCGCTCGTGAGGAGGTTCTTAACTCACTGGAAGCCTTCACATACCGCGCACGCGACTACCTAGAGGATGAGTCATTTATTAGTGCTTCCACTTCGGCGGTTCGCTCTACTCTCGAGGAGAAACTTGGTACCACCTCGGATTGGCTCTATGCGGAAGGTGCAGATGCGGATGAGCAGACGCTCCGAAGCAAGCTCAAGGAGCTTGAGGACCTCGTTAAGCCTGTTCTCAACCGCAAGACCGAAGCATCCAAGCGCCCGGAGGCCGTCAAGGAGCTCAAGGATACCATTGACCACATCAAGGAAGTTGAGCAGCTTGTTGACGGGCAGATTAAGACCCAGATAGCGGAGAGCTCTAAGAGCAGCGAGGCTGTAGCTCAAGCGTCTGCATCTCCATCCACGGATCCTATGGACGAGCTTGACGAGGAAAAGACACCGGCTGAGCCTGAAATCACCGAAGTGCCTACCATCTACACAGAATCCGACCTAAAGGCTGTGCAGGATGCTGCATCCAAGGCCCGAGCCTGGCTCGAGGAAAACGAAGCAAAGCAGAGTAAGCTCAGCGAGACCGACGACCCTGCATTCACGGTCAAGGAAATTCAGGCGGAGAAGAAGAAGATGGACGATATAATCATGGACATGATGATGAAGAAGATGAAGCACTTCAAGCCGCCGAACCAGCAAAAGCCCAAGACCACTAAGCCCAAGACTAAGAATGGCAAGTCTAAGAAGGCTAACAAGGCCAAGGGTGATAGCAAGGAGACTGAGAAGGAAAGCAAGGGCCCGAACGACGAGGAGCTACAGGAGGCGCTCAAGAAGGCGGGCGTAGATGCCGATGGGATTAAGCTCAAGAACTTTGGAGGCAAAGGCGATAAGGGGAGCATCTTGAAGCAACTGAATGTCCCTGAAGACGCAACACAAGAGGAGATTCTCGCAGCGCTTAACAAGGCGATAGAGCAGAATAAGGAGAAGGACGAGTTGTAAAGAAATGTGTATAGGCCAGTTTCTTGGATGAGACAGAAATAGAAGAAGAGATTTGTTTGCGACGCATGTGTATATGAGTAGCGAGAGAAGGTGGTGTTCACTTTGAGGAGCTTTGTACTGTGCGAGGGGTCACTTGTCGTTTGCTACAACATGTATAGGCTATACAAGCCATGCGTTCCCATGTCAAAGGTCACGCTTGTTGTGCTGATAACATATGTAGTAAGTGTGCGTGATCAGGCGAGCGGTGTATTAGGTTATGGTATGATGAGCATCTAGACCACTTACTAGAGGATATGCAGGGAAAAGAAATTTAACGAGTTTCACCTTACGGTGTGCGGCGATACTACTAGGTGATTGAGTGCATCACGTGACGAGCACGTTTCGGGGTTCATCCCGCACGGCCCGATAGAATAGTACTTGGTGGTACTTGCAAGTACAAGGCCATCGCCAGGCGCGGGTGCAAAGGTTCACGGCTACAAGGTGAGGCTGTAGACCTGCATATTGAAGGCGGCTGCACGCTGTCAAAGGCCAATCGTTCATGTGCGTGACCAGCAAACAGATGGGTACACTGGAGAGGATGCAGCGGGCGGGCCAGTGGGAAGCATGAAGCCGTTGCAGAGTGGCAGGGAAAGGACGGGGCTGACAAGAAGCTACGTGCCGTTACCGTACACATCCGGTTACGCGCACAGCGAACGCCCCGCCAAAAGTGTCGGTGAGGTAAACAATCACCAGCACTCTTCTGACACGTCGCCAGCGCATCCCACTAGTGTCCCAACCTCGCCAGATAGACGCGGGCGGGTGACCACGCACCAAGACGACCACCTCTGTGAAATTCACAATGGCATCCCTGACCCGTTGCCTCGCATCCTTCTCGTAGACAACACCGCCAGTGCCCCTCTCCCCCTCTCTCCCCTCTCCCATCTCTTCACTCCCACGGTACTGCTGAGCCTGCTACTGCATCCGCTTCCACGACCGTCGTACGAGCAACTGAGCAGAGGCCCGCCGCTATGACTACTATGCACCACCCCGCCCCCCAGCCGCCGGCAGGTCTTACCTCTTTTGCCGTCTACGAGGACCCACAGGATCGCGAACCCTTGTCGCCTTCGGACATGTATGAAGAAGGCGACTCTTTTCACTCTGAACGCTCATTCCCCAACGACGTCGTCCACACCATCGAGCTCCAGCAGCAGCAGCAGTCCCAGGAACCTGACGACGAGCCCCAGCCCTACCGAAGCTCCTACACATCTCGGCCCGGCTCCCAGCAACGGATGTCTTCGCACTACAGCTTCGTCTCGGCTATTCCCTCGGAAACCTCGATATCCTCAAAGCCCATCTTGCCAGCGAATGAAGCTGGTGCACGAGCTCGCAAGGAGCGCCCTCGCTTCCGCAACTCAGACTCTGTACGCGCCATGCAGATGTCCTCGCCTCCGCCTCTGCTAGCGCACCAGTCTTCCCACGAGCGGTTAAAGGCCTCGTACAAGTTGACTACGCCAAACCGAAATGCGGGAGCCGAGACGCCAGGCTCAAGGCACTCTGGCTCGAGGAGGAGAAGCATACGCGAACCTCACAGTCCGAGGCCCATGCCGGCTCCACAGCAGGCTCCACTGGTTCTGCTGCACGTCACCATCCTGCCGATGCAGCTACCCTACTCGCACGACATCATGGCAAGGATCATGCCCGACTGGCTGGTCGAGAACTACAAGCTGCTAGAGGAGAAGCTGCAGGACATCATCCTGATGCGCCGTGGTCTTCTCATTCCGCATCCAAGAGACGAGTACGACTTGCTCGAGGAGCGCATTCTGGAGAGCCTTGAGCTCAAGACGCCCCGACTACTTCCATGTGGACACTTTGTTCCACCCGAAGACGATGATGACCGGGAAGATGATGACGACACAGCCAGCATTGGTGATGAGAATACCGGACGGGGCAGCCGGATGAGTGGAGGAACACTTACCGAGGGCAGCAACACGTCTGCCAACGGCGACCACAGCATGTGCATCGACTGCCACCGCCAACTCAAGAAGCCAGGCAAGGGCATTGGTGCAGGCACAAGGAAGTGGGATATCAAGATTTACGCCGCCAACGGACTGATGCGTTCCGCGGCGTGGGGTGCGTGCTGGAACGACATGGAACGTTGCGATGTTGAGATCCACCCCTGGATCCCAGAGGAAGTTCGCAAGACGTTGGAGAAGCGAGCACGCGAGGAACTTGAGGCAGACCAGCGCAAGCAGCAATACACTGTAGAGCTTCAACGGCAAATACAAGAAGCCGCTGCCAAGACGAAGATCCTAGAAGAGGAGGCCAATGAGAAGAAGCGCAAGGAAGAGGCTGAGTTGCAAAAGAGTTTCGAAGAGGCTGCTGCAGCGCTGCGACGAAGCATCGAAGAAAAAGCCACCGAGAAGAAAAAGTTTGAGGAAGACCTCCGGGCTAAGCTGGAGGAAGCCAAAGAAGCTGTGCGTCTGGAGTTGGAGGCCAAGGCTCTCGCCGAGTCTGATGCCGTCGCTGACCGTCTCCGTGCCTTGGAAAACGCTGTCAAGGAGAAAGAAAGAGCCGAGGCTGCTCTCCAAGAAGCTGCCCGCTCACGTTCATCGTCGGAAGTTCCACTCAGCACCCTTCTCAAGAACTATGCCTTTGTTCTGCTGGGTGACAAGCGTAACATGATCATTGCCCTGCTTGGAGCTGCCGTCGTGTACTTAGCCATGAGTATGCATGCGATTCAACAAGAGTCTTCAGCCGCACACATGCTCCAGCTGCCCACTGACGTTGTCATGGCCGCTCCAATGCCTAGCGCTGTTACCGCGACTATGACGGCTACCTCTTACTCCACTCTCACCGTCACCGAGTCTCAGACTGTGATCAGCATGGTGGAGACTGCTGCACCTGTTGTACCTGTGCCTGCATCTGTACCTGACGTTGAAGAGAAAGTTGAAGACGTCGTTGTCGAAGCAGTTCTGGAAGTTGAGGACGCACAGCCTACAAGCCCTGCAATCGAGCTCGTGGAGTCTGTGCAGTCTGTAGAGACCGTAGAGGCTGTAGAGGCTGTGGAGCAAGCTGCCCCCGTCACTCGGGACACACCCACCACCGACTACGTTTTGTCCAAAGGCCCTTCATGTGCCATGGAGCCTGTTGTCCTCCAGGCTGCCCCCGCCTACTGCGCAGTAAGCGAGCTGTAAATGTCCTTGTTTTGACACGGACGTGAGCTCATCTTTCCTTTGTTCCGTTCTATTTTGACGTTTTCCTTTTTTTTTCTCTCTCACCATCCCATGGCCTTACCGATACCATATCATACCACGTTTATGAAGTAATGTAGCGAAGCGTATATATCCCTCCCACCAGACTATCGAGCTAGCATAGCGAAAATGGCGTTTATGAGATCTAGCTGGAGTTGTCTTTTTTTATATTTATCTCAATTGGGGGTGTCCATTGTTGTTGGATCATGAGGATGAATGGATGCGAGGTGAGGGTATTTAGTAGATGACAGACTTCAAAGGATTTTGTATGATCCTGAATACCAATTATTATCTCATCATTATCCTTTTCCATCTCTACCTTGCATCTTTCTGTGTCTGTGGATATGTGTGCATTGCCCGAGGTAAGAGGTGGAAATCACCATGACAGAGTATAAGCGGGACTGTGAAGAGTTCTTGCAAGACTTGCAAGAAGATAACTCTGCATATGTCATTTCATCTGTGTATCGTGCTATCCGAAATGGCAGGTTTGAGTAATCATCAGAGCTGCTGTACATGCGTTCAAACATGTGTATGCAGCGTCGTCATACGTCAACACCCAATCCTGCTTGCATTACCACCACACAACGACAGTGCCACCTCTTACTCCCCTCAATCTTCCGCAATACCCTGTTTCCTCAGGTCCTCCCTCCTCTTGGTCGACCTTCCCTTGGCCTCCTCAACCCACTTGTCATACGCATCGCCGCCTTGATCCAACTTTGCCCTCACAACACTCTTCAGCAGCTCACCCACAAAGCCCACAAAGTTATGCCTTCGCAACGAGTTCTCCCACAGCCACCTTGCGCGCTTATCTTCCTGCTCCTCCAACTCTTCCTCGTCCCCAATCTCTCGGGCACGGATACGTAGGTCGCGACAGCAGGCCATGAGGTTGAAGCGGATTTCCGTGGCGGGGTAGCGGGCGATGCGGCGTTGGAGTACGGGAATGATCTTCTGGGGGAATTCGGAAGAAGTGCAGGGTCCATGGGAAATGGGCGCTGGTTGGAGGCCGTCGAGTTCGTAGAGTTTGTTGTTTATGCTTGTGTAGCTGGTAGAGTTATGCATTAGTTGTGCGCTCGAGGGTTTGGCTTGAGCAAGGGCGGAATGCTTACGCGATGAAGTGGAATACATCGTCGTCTTCAGTCGCTGTTCGCTGCGTCTCATCGATGAATGGCGAGGAGCGTGCGAATGAGTTGTGTGTTTCACGGATGAGGTCGGAGTTGGAGAGAGTCTCACCACGGAGCTTTTTGTCTGGGTTAGGCATGTGTCGCGAAATATCATTGTCAGTTCAACATACATCTGGTGGGAAGTCACCCGCAAACTCCTTGAACTCTCTCAGCTCCTTGCCGATATCAATCTCCTCTTCTCTGTTCAACAGAAGCGAGACTATCGCCTGTGTCCCGCAGGCGTTCTGTATGGTTTGCGCCGGGAAGAAGATGGAGCTCGCCGCTTCGTAGTCGTAGGTGCCGTCCTTCGGTACATCGCTGGGCTTCTCGCCGGTAGGGTATTTGAAGAGGAAGATGACGCCATAGACTGTACCAAGGTTTTGCAGGTCTGATGCTTCGAGTGTGGTGAGCTCTTCGAACTGTACGTCCTTAACACCGAGCTTCTCGATCAGATAGGTGAATACGCCCTGCGCGAGTCAGTAGGTGAAGAGGATTTTCTGGCGCAGGCGGCGGTGCACTAACAGCATCAGACTCTATAGTATTCCAGCCTCCAGACATGATTGCGTTTTGAAGGCAAGGTTGCTTTTGCTGGTAATGTGTTGTCGCTGAT